GGGGTGGGGGAGCAGCCCTAGAGCCAGCTTTCTGGAGCCACCCTTCCTTTGTGCCCATGCCGACTGCTGGAAACAGTGTGGCCTCGTGGGTGTCCTAATGGGTGGCAGCTGTTTGGGCCACCCCACCCCACTCTGCTCTGTGGGCCTGGTGTCTGCGAGGCCTTGGCCAGAGTTCATTCACTCATTCACCAAACATAGACCCAAGCCGCACCCACCCCCAGGTGCCAGACAGCAGGAAGAAAAGGCACATAGTCACTGCCATGCCCTTGAGGAACTCAGGGCAGACGGGCAGGGAAACAATGCTAACCCATGGGCTACATGGGTGGGTGCGACAGATGGAGAGATGAGAAGACATTCCCCAGGCAGAGAAGTAGCAGGAAGGCCTTGGAAGTGGAGGGAACTGCATGGCCTGGAGGGCAAAAGTGTGGCTGAGCTAGAGAGGATGGCGGGGAAAATGGAATAATGGCCATGGGGTAGGGGAGACAAGCAGGCCCAGGTCATGGGGGCTGAGGCCAAGCTGAGGGACTCGGATTTGGTCCTGGGGGCACTGAGGAGGCACGTCCTGATGGGTGCATGTCAGAGGGCATTGCCGTGGCGGCGTGGAGTGTGGGCTGCATGGGGGTGCTGAGACCTGTTCACAGGCTACTGCAATAGTCCAAGCAAAGAAGAATGAAGCTTGTGCAAAATGGTGTGAAGAGGAGCTAAACGATCCTAAGGCATCTTTAGCACTGAAGCTACAGGAAGGACCCCATGTCTCTCAGTTTCTCAGGGTTTGAGGCACTTGACGGAACCACTGTAGACAAGGTCTTGGTAATAGTTTTTGTTCTTGCCTACTGTGCAGTCCCAATAGCCCTGCCCTCTCCCTGACTCGCCCACCACACGGGTTTTTAGTGAAGCCTATGTTCTGCTTCATGACAACCGCCTGACCACACCTGAGGCCACACAGCCTCTTTGACTAAAAGGTCCAAGGCTCAGAGTCTGGTCCAGCCACTCGGCTCTCCTCCATGCCCCAAAGATGGAATGATTTTAAGACTCTGAGTATGATGTTCCCAAGTTTGATGTATTAAATTTTTAAATCACATTTTAAAATTACACTAATACATAATCATGGGAGAAGAAGTAGATAATACAGATTACCAACGAGAGCACAAGAAAAATTACCCATAATCACACCCTTCCAACGGTAAGCATTGTTAATATTTTCAGGGATTTTCCCCCATCCAGATCTTTGTTTTCTATAAATATATAAATACTTCCATAGGAATAAACCCATGATTAAACCCGTGCTGTGTTATGTGCCTTCTCTGTGCATTTATCTTTGTAATAATAACAACATGCCAGACACTATTACGAATATTTTACCACTTTCAACTCAGCCTGTTAAGGCGAGTACTACCATTGTCCCCATTTTATAGATGAGAAAACCGAGGAATACGGACAGAACCCCCTCTCAGTCCTCACAAGGACAGAGCAATGCCTGAAAAGGTTGAGTATAACTTTCTCATCAGCTAAAGGCATTGGAGGCTTAAAGTAAGAATTAAGTCAACTTTAGGAAAAAGGTGATACTTCTTACACACCTGAGCTTGTGCCCCATGACTTATACTTGCTATAAAGACTGATCACCAAGGGGAAAAAGAAAGGAAGGAAAGAGAAATGAGAAAATGGTTTTTTAAAAGCGGAAGCAGAAAGGACACAAGGCTTCATGGCCCGTCTCTGCTTCTGAGAGTGATGTGTCTGCCTTTCTGAGTTGTGATTCTAAGATTTCACAAATTTGGAAGTCAAAATACAGAAATCACTGTCTCTGGACCCTCCGGTGACCCCCGCCCCTCCTGCCCCACTCCAGGGGACACCCTGTGAATGAGGCCCCGGCCTAGATACGCACACGGTGGGAAATTCTGCCGAGGTGGCAGGCTTCCCCTGTCTCACACAAGTTCCAGTTCTTTTTCCATGAAAACAACTCAGTCCTAAATCACCGACGCCTGAAATTAGAAAAATACGAGGCCCATATTATCATAAAACTATTTTAGCACAGTGGGGCCCTCTCGGTGGCAGGAGGGGTGGCCAAGAGCTCGGCAGCCGCCCCTTCCAGTCGCAGCCCCTGGAAATGCTCAGAGGGACGAGAAATTTGGTTTTCATTAGCAGCGAATGTGAAGAGCTGTCGCTCTGAATGGACCTTTGATTCTGGCTGGCAGTGGAATCTTTCCAGGACCCAGTGAGTTTTGTTTTGTTTTGTTTTTTTCATATAAAATGGGCCAGGCCCTTCTAGCTTATATCTCCCTGAACTGCACAGGAATTGGGCAACACCCCAACCTCTTGACTTCTAAAGTCAACATCTGG